CACTTACGGAGATAAAAAAACGTTTTGGTTAAAATGTTTTTTCAACGACTGAAAGATAATTTTCGGCAAGTTTGTCATAGTGATTTATCTGAGAGCCCCAAAATGTTTACGTATTGTAATTTTAAATTAACGATTTCTTGTGAAACATACTTAACTCATATTACTGTATCCAAATATAGATCTTGTTTATCGCGATTTAGGTTAAGTTCCCATAGTTTAGAAATTGAAAGAGGCCGTTACTATAACATTCCCCGGGAACAAAGAACATGCAAAATTTGTAACTTAAACGCAATTGAAAATGAATATCACTTCTTACTTATCTGTCCAGCCTACATTGAATTAAGACGTAAATATCTTTTGTCGCAATTCTATGTTTTCCCCAATATACTAAAATTCAATTCGTTGTTATCATCCAAAAATGAAGACATTTCCTTGAATACTGCTAAATATCTGTTTTATGCATTCGAAAAAAGGAAATCAATTTTGTCATATTAAGATTGTATATATTATACATGCTTTCATTGTTATCATTTTATTTCATGTCTGCACCGATGAGGTGTTTTTTGTACTCATAGGCCCGTGGCCTCATAGTATCAGAAATAAAGATTTGATTTGAAAGCCATTTAAAATGCAATTTGACATTCATACTTTTTTTACTCACACTAATTTCAACATATATAAACCTAACTGGCAGATATGTTTTAAGTGAACATCTGTGAATAATTTTGTCTGAAAATGTCCAGTCAACAACAACATCAGTGACGCAACAAGGACATCACACAAAGGAGGGGTCACTTGCAGTCAATATCGTGTATGTCCACCGTGCGCTGCAAGACATGCTCGCAGTCTTTGGGGCACTGAAAGACACACATTTCTCAGGAACAGCTGTTGGATGGTCTGCAGCCTCTGATGGTGTGTGGTCTGATCATGACACCACCCCCCTCCAAAATGATCATGTTAAAGGACACAGTTTGGCGCAAGTCTTTCTCCTTTACGTCGATAAATCTGTTGACGTCCATCTGCAAAGGAAAAGTTAAACCTGGATTCATCTGAAAAAATGACATCTGGCTATGTCCTGTTGCCAAGATTGGCCCCATTTGCTGCCCATCGCTGTCTGGCAAGTCTGTGGCGATGCAATAAGGTGGGACCACGGTACGGGTGACGACACCGGATGTTGATGGCAGCAAGGCGTCCTTGCACCTTTTGGGCGCTGAAATGACATTGACTTGTCTCAATTGTGCTCCTTGCCTAATCATCAGCTGTTTGGAACCGATTTCGCAAGTCTGAAACTCGGATATTGGGGTTTTGTCGAGCTGTTATCACAGGTGGTGCACCAGGTCGCGAACGATTAGCAACACTTCCGGTAGGTCCGAAAACTTTGTCTGAGTCGACTTACAGTGGATTGATGCACATTAAAGTGCCTGGCAATCATCACATCTGAAGCACCTTGGCTGACCATACCGATAACCTGATTCCTCTCGTCTTGTGTCAAGTGTGGCATTTTCTCAAAGTGATTGAGTTCCACAATCCCTTGTGCTTTTACAGGGCCTGGGTGCAGGTAATGCATGTGCACAACGTGTTTCATGAATGTGGTTGTGTTTACGAGAAATGTCAAAGGTTCAGTTTTAAGTATCCAAGTTCATGTGAGAGGAATGCTCCGGGACTCGAACTCGAAATGGGCCAGAATAACAGTCTTTTATCCCTACATCCTCTGTATCGCAGGAAAAAAATCTTCAATAGAACTTCTGTAAGTTTCAGGACAACAAATACCAATTGCGTTTTTAATGGCTTTCAGCATATATATATGACAGATGGGGTTTGCAAAACTAATGAGTCAGTCCTACCCAACAAGCCACGGGCTTAGCTTAAATAGAAAAATCCCATCGCTCATATACAAACTGTCCAATTGAAAAAAAGTCTCAGATGCTGCATTGTATTTCACGTGGCTAAGGTTTCTATTCTGTTTCATTTCAGATCGACGTTTCCAAAATATGTGTGGTATGTACTGTGTTACTCAAAATATTCAGATCCCAAACTGGCATTCACAAGATATGATCGACCGCCTCCGTGGTGTAGTGGTTAGAGCGTCCGCCCGGAGAATGGAAGGTCGCGGGTTCGATCCCCCGCGTCAGACCAAAAGACTTTAAATTAGGGAATTTGTTGGTTCCTGCCTGGTACTCGGCTGATCGGCTCGGAGTCAGTATAAGTGTCTGAGTGGGGTATTCATGCTAAACTGCGGCATGGTAACTCAGTGAGCTAGCACCATTAAACCAGCTTAAGTCTGGGCTAGTACAAGCAGCCACACATACACACACATGCACGTCGTCATATAAGTGAAATAACCTTAAATACGTACGACGTTAAACCCCATTTCACCTCACCTCACAAGATATGATCAAGTGATGTTTTGCCTGAAAAAATGACATCAGCATATAAACGTTTCTACGCACACTCAAGGAAAGTTCGTTTGCAAACCTTTGAACATTCAATTGAATTGTGTTTGAAAATGTGTTCTTAACTCCAAACACCAAATTAACCGTCATTTCTTTCATGAATGGCCCCACATGTGTACAACGAGTGAAGCCCATTTCTGGTGTCCCCCGCCGTGATATTGCTGGAATATTGCTAAAAGCAGCGTAAAACCAAACTCACTCAGTCAGTCAGTCTTTCAAGAATGGTAAAAACGAATCTACTTTCTTTTTCAGATTCAACGAATGAACTTATGAGTTATGATGACACAGCATTCGTGTCCACCTATTACGAGAGGTCATCTTTAAGACTGTTGACAGACCACGGAAGAATATTCATCAAAGGGAGATCTGGTTCTGGCAAGTCAAGGCTTGGTCTTAGACTTCTGTCGAAACTATCTGAAGACAACAGCAGAGTACCTGTTTTACTGACATCAGCTGAGGAATGGAAACTGATACCCAAAAGAACTGGCCGTGATCGACGCAGGTACATTGTGATGTTAGATAACATATTTGGGTCCAGTAACTTAGTCCCTTCAAGAGTAGGTGAATGGGAAAAAACATTTAATATTATGTGGCCATCAATTGAATCACACCATATCCTTCTTGTCATCACATCGAGACCAGAAATAAGTGTCAAGTGTGAAGATGAACTGAAGAAATATAATTTGATGAAGGACATACCGTTTGTCACGTTGGATGAGGGAGAATATGCACTTCAGCACAGTGAGAAAGGGAAAATGCTGCAGACTATCTGTCCAATCAAGAGTGGCTTCACAACGGAGGATATAGAAGTTATTACTGCATCAAGAGCAGCCCTGGGTTTTCCTCAGTGTTGCAAGTTCTTTGCAAACAGCAAACAAGCACAGGGTAAGGGAGTGAGTTTCTTCCTTCGACCACATGAGTATGTCTTAGAGGAGATAAACAGACTACAAGAAAGTGATGGTTTGGGGTACCTAGTTCTTCTCCTGATCCTAATGCAAAACGGGTGCATAAAACACACACTTCTTAAGAAGAGGACGCCAGAGTTCAGCAACATAGTTGAAACTTTAAAAGATGTGTGTGCAGACATACCTGAGAATCCAAGTCTTGTTGGAATCCGAGAAAAGGCTGATTCACTCTGTGGTGTATACTTAGAGCGCACTCAAGATGGATATGAGTTTCAGCATCAGTCGATATCAGAGTGTGTGTTCGTCACATTGTCAAAGATCGATACCAACCTCTGCATCAAGACATGCCCTGTACAGTTGCTTTTGGAACTTGTTCAAATGAAAGGAAATTATCCTGATGTGACTGAGATGGTCATATTGCTGACTGAAGATTACTATCCCACATTTGCTGATCGAATTACAACATTATTGTTGGACCCAACTCTTTCAAAAGAAATCTTGAACCATGCTGCTTTTCATGATGACGACTTCATTCAGTATTTGATATCCAAATGGAGATCCGAAGATAAAATACAAGTTATCTGGCGGCTTGTATTTGAACCTGGAACACGTTTGTGTTTCATCAGTCAAGGTAACAATGTGCCACTGTTTGGATTTCAGAAGATAGTCCCATGTCTGATTTTTAAGAACATCAAAAGACTTGTGGATAATTTGATTGCTATGAATAGAGACACAGGTACAGACGTCCTTCAGGAGTGTTTGCCTTGTGCTGTTTATGTCGGTAGAAATGAGCTCGTCAAGAACCTACTTGATTATGGAGCGACACCAGATGAACATTGCTTCAGAGCTCTTTGTCCGGCAAGACAAATAGACGCCGATGTCACCGAGACTATTTTCAACGTTGTTGTGGCAGAGCACAGAAGCTTCACATGGGATTCCATATCCAATCTAAGAGATCTGTTCTGGCTATCTGTAATGAATGGAAACGTACACATTGTACACCTACTGGTCAAAAGGTTAAAGGGTTACACAGACAGCTTGAGGATCTTCAGTTATGCCTTAGCAAGTCTTGTCAGGGAGCTTAGTACAGGCCATAGGTGTCCACTGTTTAAACCCTATGACATGAGGCATCTAAGTGAAATAGTCAGAATTCTCTTTGGCACAGGATGCAAGGCAGATTTTGACTATCTCACTTTGCAAGCAGCAACTCATGCTGATGCGACTATTTTGCGACTTGTTCTTGAGCAAGGTGTGAATGTGAAGGATATATATTCAAATAGTGAAGACATGTTCAGCACAGAGGAATATTATCCAACGCCTCTACAACAGGCAGCGGCTTATGGGGGAGGGGATTGTCTGGAAGAAATCCTCAGTTGCACACAAGCTGGACAGGTGAAGCCGGATATTAAACCGGAACGAAGAGTAATTAACAACGATGCGTTCTTACTGCACACTGCAGTTCAGCATGGTAACATTGAGTGTGCGTCACTGCTGCTAAAGAAAGGCATTGAAGTCAATACACAAGATAGAAATGGAAATACACCGCTTCATATTGCTGTCAAACACAACCAGGTGAAAAGTGTTGACCTGCTACTTTCAAAGCATGCACCGGTTGACATGAAAAACAGCAATTGGTGTATACCGTTATTGTGTATGAAACTTACATCCCTTCCAGATCTGAACATTGTTACTAGACTCATAAAAGCAGGAAGCGACATTAATGAGGTTGATGCACAAAACAGGACACTTCTTTATAAAGCAACAGAGTATGGACAATTTGCTCTTGTAAAGTATCTGTGTAACAAGGGAGCCAACGTGAACATTGATACACAGGAGAACATTTCCCATATGGCCATCACAGAGGAACGAAAGTTGTGTAAGAGAGTTATTCTTGCTGCATGTAGAAATGCTGATATTGATGTTGTTAAGTTGCTCTGTGAACATGGGGCTGATGTTGACGTAGCTGACGACAATGCGGAAACAGTAATACACAAGTCTGCAGCATCCCCCATTGATGCTGTTGAGAAACTTCAATATCTTCTGGACACTAAGCAGGTGCCTCTGAGTATAAAAGACCATTTTGAAAGGACTATCTTATTTCCAGCTGTCACGTCAGCTTTACAAACTGGGTATTTGGAGGTTCTGCACTTTCTGTCGTCCAGAAAAATGGACTTCAAACAAATAGATACATTTGGGAACAGTTTACTGTTATATCCCTTTGGCCCAAACCGATTTGACAATGCAATATCTCCATCAGATGACTTTATTAAGCTAATGCTAGACCATGGTATTGATCCAAACATAAAGAACCTGCAGGGCAGTACAGTGCTTCACTACGCTGCAATCAAGGGGGACAAGAACAAACTGACAATACTTCTAGAAGGAGGCGCTGATCCACGTGTTCCAGATGAAAAAGGTCGGACTGTGCTCCACCAAGCTGTAAAGAAACAACAGTTTCACAATGTGAGGCTGTTCTTAGAAAAAGGTGCCAATCCAGATGTTCAGGACAAAAACGGTAAAACAGCCCTCCACTTTGCAGGAAAACTTAAAGATTCTGAGACTGTTAAGCTTCTACTTGAAAAAGGAGCAGATCCTACTGTTGCAGATAAATATGGCAGAGATGCCCTTCATTATGCTGTGAAAAGTCAGGACTGTGTCATTATGAACTTACTCCTGCAAAATAGAGCCAGTCCTTGTGTACAGGATACGTTTGGTGCCACTGTACTTCACATTGCTGCAAAATGTCTTGACAGAGAGAATGTCATGTTGCTGTTGGAACATGGAGCAAATCCACACACTCGGAATCGACGCTGCCAGACTACACTTCACTTTGCTGCCCGTAATGCAAATAATGAAGTTCTCAGATTGTTCCTGGAGAGAGGTGTTGATTCCTCTGTACAGGATGACAGAGGCATGACAGCTCTTCATTGGGCAGTATTGTATTGCAACACTGAGAATGTTGAGCTACTTCTGGAAAGATGTCAAGAATGGGACGTACAAGACGAAGATGGAAAGACCCCTCTTCACCATGCAGCAGAAACAGAATACTCAAATATTGTTAAGCTTCTCTTAGATAAGAACTTCGACCCGTGTGTACAAAACCACAATGGGGAAACAGCCCTTCACTATGCAGCAAGGTATGGATACAATGAGAATGTTCGGTTACTTGTGAACAAAGGTGCTGATGTGTCTCTCAGGGACAAAGAAGGCGTGACGGTTCTTCACTTTGTAGCATATATCAATAAAGACAGCGTGAAGCAACTGCTGGTGCATGGTGCTGATTCCAATGCAAAGAATCATTCAGGGAGAACTCCTCTTCACCTTGCAACAAAGGGAAAGTGCGATAATAGTGTGAAACTGTTTTTGGACAATGGTGCTGATCCTTGTGCGAAGGATGATGGGGGCCAAACGCCACTTCACTTGGCAGCAATTCACAAACTAGAGAGTATTGATTTATTGTTGAAGAAGGGTGCAGATCCGGGTATACAGGACAAAGAAGGCAAAACGGCCCTTCACTATGCAGCAGAGCATGATAATTGGGAGTGTGCTAATCTGCTGTTGGAAAGCGGAGGTGATCCCTGTATACAGGACCAACAAGGCAAAACAGCCCTGCATGCTGCAGTTGAAGCCGAGTATCTCTTTAACGTCTTCAGGTACATTGCCGGATCTTATAAGTATGTATCCGAAAGAACCAAGAAGAAGACGAAGAGTGTTGCTAAGCTCCTCGTTGAGAAAGGATGCAGTCATTCTGTGACGGACAATCAAGGTAAAACTGCACTTCATTATGCAGCTGAGAGCAATAGCGGTGATAGCCTGCAACTCCTCTTGGACGATAATGCTACCCCATTCATTAAAGACAAGCAAGACAAAACACCACTCCACTATGCAGCAGCAAAAGGAACAAGTGACAATGTTAAACGGCTCTTGGAGAAAGGTGCAGACCCATATGTCAAAGATCAACAAGGGAAAACTCCACTTCACTATGCAGCAGAAACAAAACACGGAGACAATATTCAGGTATTACTAGACAGTGGCGTGGATGCAAGTCAGCAGGACAATGAAGGAAGAACTCCGCTGCACTTTGCAGCAACGGGCGACTCCAGCTTGTATGTACGTCTGCTTCTGAACAAAGGCTCTGTGACAACCCTGCGCGACCAACTTGGGAAAACAGCTCTTCACTATGCAGCTGAGGGTTGTTGCAGTGATAATGTCAGACTTCTACTACATAATGGTGCTGATCCCTTTGTAACGGACCAGCAAGGGAAGACAGCCCTTGACTATGCAACTCGTGGTGGGAACACAACTAGCGTTACACTTTTGCAGGGACGTGTTGCTCAGAAGCAGTCAGTGTGATTGTGTACAGAAGATAGTGTTGTTCTTGGTCATTGATTTATCAACACGATAGATATGAAGAACTTTGAGGATTTAAGGAGAAAGAGAATAGTTATGGGGCTTATTAACATTGCCTCTAGTTTGTTTTAACAGTTATTGTCGATTTCAGATAGTCATGAAGCTGGCTCTCCCTGTGTAATGTTTCTACACTGTATATAATCACGACATGAGATTATAAGTTATGGGCTTATGGAATTGGTACCATGTGCAGCTAACTAGTAATATTGATTTGCCATATATTTGGTTCACTATGCATTGTGGCTCAAGTATACATGACTAGTTACTAACAGTTTGTCATGAACTCTTGTGGTTGGTTCACTTTGAGAGTGTGTGTATATTTCAGGGACCACTGGCTCTTTATAAAGATACATCATAGATTACAGATATACATCTACTATGGTTGTTATGAACTGTTCTGATTTGTTTACTATCTATAGTGGCCCCAGTATATATGACTAAATATTGTCAGGTTCTTATAAACTGTTCTGATTTGTTTACTATCTATAGTGGCCCAAGTATATATGACTAAATATTGTCAGGTTGTTATGGACTGTTCTGATTTGTTTACTATCTATAGTGGCCCCAGTATATATGACTAAATATTGTCAGGTTGTTATGGACTGTTCTGATTTGTTTACTATCTATAGTGGCCCAAGTATATATGACTTATTATTGTCAGGTTGTTATAAACTGTTCTGATTTGTTGACTATGAATAGTGGCCCAAGTATATATAACTAAATATTGTCAGGTTGTTATGAATCTGATTTGTTTACAATCTATAGTGGCCCAAGTATATATGACTACATATTGTCAGGTTGTTATGAACTGTTCTGATTTGTTTACTATCTATAGTGGCCCAAGTATATATGACTAAATATTGTCAGGTTGTTATGAACTGTTCTGATTTGTTTACTGTGTGTAGTGGCCCAAGTATATATGACTACATATTGTCAGGTTGTTATGAACTGTTCTGATTTGTTTACTATCTATAGTGGCCCAAGTATATATGACTAATTATTGACCAACTAAAAGCTGTTCGGTCCCTATAATTGTCCAAGGTACCTCACAGATTCACGTTATCCCATTGCAACTCATTGGCAGAAGGGTGAGCATCGAGTGATGGTACTGTTTGAGATAACAATATATGTAGACAACCATATATGTAGATCGTCAATGCAAAATAATACTTAGCCTTGACTACCCCCAGAAATACATTTCATTTTGTGTAAAGAGAAGTGATATTTGTGAAAATTATGTGACAAAATCACTGAAAACATTGATGACACCAGGTGTTCAAAAAATGGTAAGCAAGTCCTACCCAACCGGTAGCACCAACCATTCACGCGAAAGGCTGAAAATTGTCAAATAGATATATTTGGGGATAGTTTACTGTTGTATGCCTTTGGCCAAGACCGATTTGGGAACACAATATCTCCATCAGATGGCTTTATTAAGCTAATGCTAGACCATGATATTGATCCAAACATAAAGAACTAACAGGGCAGTACAGTGCTTCACTATGCTGCAATCAAGGGGACAAGAACAAACTGACAATACTTCTAGAAGGAGGCGCTGATCCATGTGTTCCAGATGAAAAAGGTCGGACTGTGCTCCACCAAGCTGTAAAGAAACAACACTTTCACAATGTGGGGCTGTTCTTAGGAAAAGGTGCCAATCCAGATGATCAGGACAAGAATGGTATGTGAAATTATGTGAAAAGGTCACTGAAAACAGTGATGACACCAGGTGTTCCAAAACATGGTAAGCAAGTTCTAACCTACCGGTAGCACCAACCATTCACAAGAAAGGCTGAAAATTGCAAACGCCTGCATAGGTGGATCCAGAGGATTCACTTTGTCCTGAAAGTTTGTTCAATGACCATTGAAACTCGGGTGAAAATGAAGTGCTGCATCCGCCCCTGCCCTGCTATGCGTCGGTGAAACAAACCAGACAGTGAAGTGGTGGATAAACCGGATAGAATCTTACATAACTTTGAATTCCAACTGCCAGGTAGAGGTACAGAGATTCCGTTTAAAAACAAGTGGGAAATAGACAAATGTGAATCACTGGACTTAATGGGAAAATGTAGGGTTTTGCGGAAGGGATATTGAGAGATAGGATGGGTGTTGGGCGCATTTTATTCCGGTACCAGTAGTATATAACATATACAGTCGTCACATATTTAGTGTGATGCTTGTGTATAAAACTCTTTTCACCACATAATATATTCAGACCTTTGATAATCTCGAAGAACATTGTAGGTTGTTTTGCATATTGTTGTGTATCCCTTGCTTGATGACGGTGTTACCATCTACACTGATACGTCACATCTATTGCAATAAAGATGTTTTTATCCATAAAAATTGTTTCTCTTGAACATTATTGCGTTGTTGTGTGAGGCTTCACAGTGAAGCCTCTGTGAGAGATTAACGAGATTGAGATTAACGAGATTGAGATTAACGAGATTAGGACTCAGGACTGCACGTTAGTTAGTTCAGCTGGAACTTCCTCTTCTCTAAATCAACCACACTGAGGATCAATGAAAATGTCTGCTAGCAAGTAAACAAAGGGGGATAACTCTTCACAAACTAATGAAAAAGGATTAACGGAGTTGTCTCTCTTGAATAAAACCAAGCACTTGATAACTGGTCACGGTTGCTTATACTAGAAATCCAATTAAACATATTCCTAAAATTCTCAATAATTTCTGGTCATACTATAATTTCAGCTGGTAGACTTCACTCTGCGGGACAACAGACAAGCTACAACGTCTTTGTGTTTTATAAACTTTGGGTACTTGAACTGTTCTGTGTAAAGATCGGGGTTTAGCTTCATGTAGATCTTCTTCACTTCCTCTAACGTCCCAGGCCTCACTTGAACGACAACAGCAGGGGCATAGCTTCCACTTGAACGGCAACGTTTGTACCTATCCTGGGTTTCTTGAAGACTCTCGTCGATCTGGAAACAAGAACAATGTCACTGGCTAGGAAATAAAGGTCTTAAAGCTACAGTAACTGACGTTAGAGTTGACAAATAGATCAACAGCGACATATGCGTCAGTGTGGTAGATAACTTAAACCTACAGCGACATAAGTGTCAGTGTGGTAGAAAATTTAAACCTACAGCGACATACGTGTCAGTGTGGTAAAAAATGTAGATCAGCAGTGAAAATAATTGTCGTTTTAGACGAATAAACAAACAGTGTGACAGGTATATAGACGCTTCATGCAAATGTACAGATAGGGGTCGCAGGTGTAAAGACACAACTTGCATATTACAGGCACATGTTTCAGGTGTACAGGCACAGTTTCCAGGTATGTACATACAGCTTCCAGATGTGTCAGCGCAAGTTGCAAGCATATAGACATGGGTATCTAGACGTAGGTAGCATGTGTATAGACACGGGTTGTAGGTGTCTAGACACAAGTTGCAGGTGTATAAACATGGGCTGTATGCGTATATACGCAGGTTCCAGGCGTAAAGACAGGAGATAGGTGTCTAGGCAAACACCTTGGCTCACTCCTAAACACCTTACCTCACCACAGAGCAGCTAGCTGGTAAGAACTCACAACATTGCTGGTTCAGTGAGTGAGTGAGTGAGTGAGTGAGTTGAGTTTTACGCCGCACTCAGCAATATTCCAGCTATATGGTGGCGGTCTGTAAATAATCGGATCTGGACCAGACAATTCAGACATCAACAGCATGAACATCGATCTACGCAACTGGGATACGATGACATGTGTCAACCCAGTTAGCGAGCCTGACCATCCGATCCCGTTAGTCGCCTCTTACGACAACATTGCTGATTGAGGACATGTTACCTTCAAATACAATATTCATGCATAACCATGAGAACATTACGAAACATCCTGTAGATACGTGCATCCCACAAGAATGCAACCTTTACGACGTTTTCCGAACGCTTGGTCATCAGTTGTTCAGACACTAAAAATAGTCGTATGTACAGGAGATATTATTCATCTTTTAGATCTTCTGATGGCCATGTTTTGTCATTGCTCAGAGTTTGCGTATAAATGATTAGTTGAAGACATGTATTATCTTGGATATGTTAAAAACTATATCCTGTATATCCTTAAAATCCTGTAATTGTTTAGAAACAAAGTTAATGTACTCTCTGTAACTTTGTTCACATACCACACGTTTTTCTCGATCAGTCAAAGCTCCATCACCGAGCAGTTCTATGAAGACATACACGTGCGCTGTCGTCGATATTTCACCTGCAAGGGGTATGGATATCAATTACCTGCGACATTGAATCCGTTATGAACACTCTTGCGTCAGTTGCACTCCCTGTCTTAGAAGCAGTCCCTCTTCCTGCCTTCCTCCTCCTGTCTAAACACTCCTGTCACTCCCAAACACATTGTCTCACTACTAAACACGCTTCGCTAGCAAATACAGTGCCTCACCACTAAACACCTTGCCTGACCACCTAACACGCTTCACTCCCAAACACACTGTCTCACTACTAAACACACTTCACTCCCAACACGCGTTGTCTCACTACTAAACACGTTTTACTGGCAAACACATTGTCTCACTACTAAACACACTTCACTCCCAAGCACATTGTCTCACTACTAAACACGCTTCACTCCCAAGCACATTGTCTCACTACTAAACACGCTTCACTAGCAAACGCAGTGTCTCACTACTAAACACCTTGCCTGACCACCTAACACACTTCACTCCCAAACACATTGCCTAACCACTAAACACACTTCACTACCAAACACAGCTTTGAATTTCTATCAAAGAAATGCCTTAATGTTAAAATTTGCCATTTCCAAAAGGGTCCTTAACTCCAGCGAGGTTTAGTAACAATTCATTACCACAATTTGCTTCCCGTTTTACCCTGTGTTTCAACTTACCAGTCAGTTCCTCAACGATGAAGTTGCCGACAGCCATGTAGTTAAACATCGTTCCTGACGTCCACGTTCTGGAAGCTTTCAAAACAGCTTCAGTGAACAGGAACTCTGGGTATTTGTCGTACCCGTCTCCTGTCCTGTAGGATGCAACAGTGAGGTCATTACGGGTTAAACCAAACACCTCGTAATGCACACACACGCGCGCGCGCACGCACACACACGCACACATGCAGAGAGAGAGAGAGACACACACACACACATGCAGAGAAAGAGAGAGACACACACACACACACACACACACACACATCGACAAAAGATTGTCAGAGCTTTGAATTTCTATCAACTCGTACTGATAGATTTGCTGTCAAATAAAATACAATCTGGAGCATCATCAGCCGCAAACAAAGTAATTCGTGATTCATTAATCTGCAATATCTGCACAATTCCACTGAGAAAGCACCTGTTCTGATTGACGAGGTTTAGCTGTTCACAGCAGCATCTGTTCAATGACAAGCATGTGAAGACATAACCACAACATCCACAACATCATCGCCCGTTGTACTCACCGTTGTTGTAGAGCATAGCTTGGCGCCTGACCAGTGAAGCTGGTAACACGGATGATATCTCCTGTCCGATATCTGTACAGACCTGACCAGTTGGTGATGACCATCTCATAACTCTGCCCAATGTCCACCTGGAGGACACAGTTGCGAAGGAATAGTCAGTCTCATAACCATACTATAGTCTGTTTGGCTCAAAATCGGACCGATGAATTGCAGTCTACAACTACAAAACATATAATACTCAATGAAACACTGATCATAATCAAAACATCAGACCAACTCTGTGATTTTTTTGCAGAATTTATGTCTTAAAAATAAAAAACTTATTCAACAAACTATCATTAACATTTGTTACGAGGGAGGACTGAAAAGAGAGGAACAGCCAGGTGTACGCGGAGCACGTGCACAAGTGCCGACAAAGTTATTGAATCATTTACCTGTGCTGTGCTGTCTCCATCCTTTCTCGCGCATCCGGCTGTTCCTCTCTTTGCACCCCTCCCTCGTAAGAAATAGTGAACTGGGGGGAAAATTTAATGATACTTTGTTAAACAGCGCTTTTATTTTTAGGATATAAATTCTACAGAATTTGTCTGATGTTTTGATTATGATTAGTGTTTCATTGAGTATTATATGTTTATTAGTTTTCGAGTTAGATTGCAATTCATCGGTCTGATTTTGAGCCAAACGGACTATAGCCGCTCTAAGATACTTTTTACAGTACCTCATATACAGAAAAACAGAACAGAAACACTGAGCCACGTGTCGAGGAACTCCTCTGCCGTATCGCAAATCCACAAAACTTGCAGATTCGAAACCAGTGACATAGTATACTATATGTGTGCCAAGTCTTTCAAAAGAAACAAAGAAAAATGTATCTACCTCATGAGCCAGCAACGTCTGTGGATTATCTTGATCAACATCTGCTTCATGGATGAATTCGTAAAAGACCTGATCAGGGGAGGATGGTGTACTCCGTCTTCGTCTGGTCTATAATGTTCATGTTGATGCCATACACCCCCCTCGGAAGCCACGTGTGTGCTGGAGGTTATTGGGATGTCCACTATGTACTTCCGTCTCAGAATATTCACCTGAAAGTCAAGATGCTATCAATGTAAAAGACTGAATGATGTTTAAATGCCTGTTCTACTGAGAGAGTAACCTCTTCAGTATATGAGGCCAGGTAATATGCATCGTGTCTTGGTGTAATACTGGTGCTCTATTCCATGTGTCATCAATCATATAGAGGTAATGAAATGTCTTCCTGTTTAATGCCGTCTATATTGTCATAAAAGCTGATTCAGGACAGCCATTGTTCAAATATTTCCAAAGGCCAAAACGTATGTAGCTAAGACATGTGAGACTTGACTGGAACTATTTATAGGACACAAATTTTTATTCTCTATGCTGATCACCCCCATTGACTTGCCAGCGAACCCTTACCACTCTGTCATTTTCATTAATTACTGTGCATGACATTTATAGCCTTAATAAGTAATCGCCTCATGTCTGCCATCACATCAATTAGTCCACGGCAATGTTATTGTTTCTCTACATGTCCATTGTTAACCCTTCGTCTGTCCATTGTTATCTATAACTATATATATGTTCATATCTGTACTGTCACCAGTCCAGTTCTCCTGAGAGGGTACGTATGTCCTCTTTAATTGAAACGTTTTAGCTTTGCTCGCTAGTTTTATTCATATCTGTGATTCTCTAGTATTTTTACTGTCCATCGTCGACAGGTTTTAATCTTCAAAACGTTTTCTCTTTATATTGTAAAAAATTGTTTTCGTCGCGATATGGCTGAGATATTGCCGATGTGACGTTAAATATTAACTCACTCACTCACTGTCACCAGTCCGGTATTCCGACTGTCTGTGTAGGGGCGACCGCGAGCAGGATAATGCCGCCTGTAGGAAACGCCCTAAGGTTGAGCTGGAACTCCGCAGACCTCATTAATGTCTGAGCCGGCAACCCAGTTTATTGATGTCTTGTAAATTTGTTTGTCATGTACTGTATAACCAGCTAAAGAATTGGATCTCAACGTATTCAATGGTCTTCGTCCACGTATTATTCGTCTTAATTCTGAGTTTGTTCCCATGTCGAGAACATGTATGCGTTGACGTTATCGTTCTCTAGTTATATACGTTTTGAAATACAATCTGGACGAGTTATTAAATGTATAGAGATTGAGAAATCTACACATGTGCTTCCGTTAGATAATGTTTCTATTTCTTACAAATTTCCCTTGAAATACAATCTGAACGAGTGAAGTCATAAATATTATAACACGGTTAAACGTGGCACATTATTGAAATTAAACGGTGGTATGCAAATACGTAGTTTGGCTGAAGGTAACGCATGAATACAACCTCCGTAGCTGATTCCAGAGACTGTTTTCTCATCAGCCTGGCAATAGATATTGTGTTCACACGTGACACTTTTGGTAAATTTATATAGTTACAACATTTAAAGCTTGTGAGTTTCTCACCACTGGAATGTAGGCTCCCGATGACGCTGTGTGTAACACTGATAAACATGGCCAGGTTCGTGGTCCAATATTGTGGAAGCCTTCCTTGAAGATACTTCTCAGTTCACCAGCTCTCTCTGCATCAGCAGTCAGATGCTTCTGAAGCTTGAGCCTCACATCGTCCTGCAGACCAGGACACTTGCAGATGTTTCCACGTTCTATATCACAACACATGGCTTCCCACCGTGTCTCGATGACCCTGAAGAAGTTCAAGGCTGTAGGTGCTGTGAGGCAGCTTAGCAAGGTGACGTCTTTACACGTCAGACCGAACAATGCATGGACATACAGGGATGCCTGCTCCTGTCTGATTTCATATGCAACATCAGGTGATGGTCTAAAGGGACAGACGAAGGCCCCAGCTCCACTCGCAGGACCTTGTCTGACCCCAGACGGAGATAGCGTGAGTGTTGGCGCTGTCCTCACATCTAGCCAGAACTTGAGCTTGCCTATGTTGGGTATTTTGAACAATTGTCTCTTTTTGTGGACGCTATGAATGATCATCCTCTGAAAATCGAACGCCAGTTGTTTGGGGAAGAGCTTACTTTTCCCGGAAGAAGTCCCGGAAGTCAAAGTGAAATAGTCACATCAGACTCTCCTTGTATGATACGCTGGATGTACTTATCATAGTTCTCATGTGAGGTGAGACGCTGTTGAGACCGAAATTCTTCGAGACATGTAACAGAATCAAAGGCGTTATCGAGTCCAGAAGCAGTTTCTGAACCCAACTTGAGAATGTTTCGAAGAACGGTTCTTTGTTGATTTATTGCATCTCTGAGGACAGGAAGGTAGCTGGTGTCAAGTATGATCTGATATAAAATTTCTTTATCCATATATATTGCTTCAAAAGCGATGTCCATGTATGATGACGACTTGGGTCCAATCTTATGACGTCCATCAAGACAACACTTAATAGAAGAAGTAAAACTCCAAGTCCGGGACCTGTAACAAATTACCGCTCAAGTGAATATACTCAAAGTGTTGTAAGCATACACTTTTGCTGCCCATATCATACGCATCAATATGAGAATGCTACCTATACAACTGTGCTATCTGGATAGTGTTAATGCTTGGGGTTGACATAAACAAATGCACAACTTCCCTGATAATCTCTTGGCGAAAGAGCAATCAATCGGGGGAAAACGCCAGTGAATACAAGCTGCCTGAAGATATTCACAGTTATCTTGCCTCGCACATAAATGTCGTTTTCTGATTGGCTGAGCGTTCTTCTATTACTTTCAATGTATTACGCTTGCAAGCAAGTAACATTTTCTATGTACCCCACTGGGAATACCGAATTCATTAGGTAGTTTGTAGTAATAATTCTTTATCTCGAATAACATTGAATCACATATGATCAGATACCATATAATAGATCTCTGGTATGATGTACGGAAATTACCGATGTTTTGCGAATGCAAATCGATGGAAGGGAGATAACTCTAATTTTGGTTTTGGTTTTTTGTCTTGTCGTCTGGTACTCCATACTATGATCCGATACCCGTGTTTCAAACAGTTCAAAATTACCATTGAGCTGTTCGGTTGTTCAGGGAACATAAACATCAGTTCAACTCAACTTCAGAAACTTCAAAAATTATAGAACTCAGCAGCTCGCATCGTCTGCCTCAAGTCCAAGAAAGATCATATCACACCTTCACTGATGTCTCTACACTGGTTGCCTGTCAAATTCCAGATTTACTTCAAAATTCTCTGTATCACTTTCAAAACCCTACATGGACAAACACCTGAATACTTCTCCAGTCGTCTGTGTCAGTACATCCCAACCCGACCATTACGATCCCAGAATCACCAGCTACTTGTCATTCCTAAAGTTCGACTCTCATCCTATGGGAAAAGATCATTCCAAAAGGCATAACTAGGTTGCACTTTGTAATATTGTGTTGCACCAGTGCAAGTAACAAAGCACTAAATCGAGCTCTGTCTCTCCCCCAGAGAACGGGGATGCGTTGATCGACGTCTACAACTGGATAGAACGTTAGCTCAGTTCGAAGAATAAATGATTTACATTTGAACGACATCCCAAGGGCTGTGTTCGATTCTCTGGGGTATTCAGTGTCACCACTTCTTCCTCGACTACATCAACGCAGGTGACTAAAACCAAACTCACTCACTCACTCACAACATGGACATGGACATCTTGCACATGAAATATTTTCTTCTTTATTGGACATGTCATATAATCATTGATTAAGCATACACCATGCTTGTTACAAGGTAACCGTGATCTGCTGACGTCAGGAAGGATATAAGATCAACAAGCAGAAAACATAAAGCACACACTTGTAAGACGTTTTAAGACCAATAAATAGACTAGATTCAGCATATACCAGACGTTTTAAGACCAATAAATAGACTAGATTCAGCATATACCAGACGTTTTAGGACCAATAAATAGACTAGATGTAGCATATACCAGACGTTTTAAGACAAATAAATAGACTAGGTTTAGCATATACCAGACGTTTTAAGACAAATAAATAGACTAGATTTAGCATATACCAGATGTTTTAAGACCAATATATAGACTAGATTTAACATATACCAGACGTATTAAGACCAATACATAGACTAGATTCAGCATATACCAGACGTTTTAAGACCAATAAATAGACTAGATTAAGCATATACCTAACGTTTTAAGATCAGCAGGTAGACTAGATTTAGCATCCGTTAGAATTTAGGAGACCAACAGGTACACTACACTCAGCATACACAAGACTCGATATGACATATACTGGTATACTTGATTTGGCATAGAGAAAGTATGTTATGAGATCCGCAGAAAGAGTTGATTTATGATACACAAGGTACCGTATGTCCTCTAATAAGAGCCCGGACGCCAGCCCCGGTGTTTTTTGGAGGTCTTGCGCTTATTGCGTTTACTGGGTGTACCGTAATTAATTGTGAGTGACCTTAGGGACCATTCCTTAATAAATCTATTTTTGGATCAAGGGAGAATACATTTATAAAAAAACATACCCGACGCTTATAAGACACATGGCGCTAATTAGAGGCCTGGCGCTTGTTAGAGGCCTGGCGCTTATTTCTTAAACCGCTGCTTTACCCCCAGCGCTTATTAGGGTCCCAGCGCTTATTAGAGGAAATATTGTATGTTATTGTTCAGCTGATAGACGTCATCAGCTCGTAGACTTCACTCTGCGGGAGAGCAGACAAGCTACAACATCTTTGTGCTTGATAAACTTTGGGTACCTGAACTGTTGGGCGTGAAGGTCGGGGTTTAGCTTCATGTAGATCTTCTTCACTTCCTCGAACGTCCCAGGTCTCACTTGAACGACAACAGCAGGGGCATAGTTTCCATGGCAACGTAACCATTTGTACCCATCCTGGGTTTCTTGAAGACTGACATCGATCTGGAAACAATAACAATGTCACTGTTCATCAAATTGAAGTCTAAAACACACAGTGACTGAAGTAACAGGGTGACAGACAATGTAGATCAGACAGTCACATACAATGTGTGTCTCAGGGTGACAGACAAGGTAGATAAGACAGTCACATACAATGTGTGTCTCAGGGTGACAGACAATGTAGATCAGACTGGCACATACCCCGTATGTCTCAGGGTAATAGACAATGTAGATCAGACAGTCACATACAATGTACGTCTCAGGGTGACAGACAATGTAGATCAGACAGTCACATACTATGTGTGTCTCAGGGTGACGTCACAGAAAATGTAGATCAGACAGTCACATACAATGTGTGTCTCAGGGTGACAGACAGTGTAGATCAGACAGTCACATACAATGTATGTCTCAGGGTGACAGACAATGTAGATCAGACTGTCACATACAATGTATGTCTCAGGGTGACAGACAATGTAGATGAGACAGTCACATACAATGTATGTCTCAGGGTGAAAGACAATGTAGATCAGACTGTCACATACAATGTGTGTCTCAGGGTGAAAGACAATGTAGATCAGACAGTCACATACAATGTGTGTCTCAGGGTGATAGACAATGAAACACACAGAGGCAGTGTGACAGTGTGATCCAACAGTGACGTCAGTGTGACAATGTGACCAACCGTGACGTCAGCGTGACAGTGTGACCAACAGTGACTTCAGTGTGACCCGAAAGTGACGTCAGCGTGACAGTGTGACCCAACAGTGACGTCAGCGTGACAATGTGACCCAACAGTGACGTCAGCGTGACAGTATGACTAACAGTGACGTCAAACGTGTGACCAAACAGTGACGTCAGTGTAACAGTGTGACCAACAGTGACGTCAGCGTGACATTGTGACCAAGAGTGACCTCAGCGTGACAGTGTGACCAACAGTGACGTCAGCGTGACACTGTGACCAACAGTGACCTCAGCGAGACAGTGTGACCAACAGTGATCTCAGCGTGACAGTGTGACCCAACAGTGACGTCAGTGTAACAGTGTGACCCAACAGTGACGTCAGCGTGACAATCTGACCCAACAGTGACAATGGTGTCACTATGATAATGCAGTGACGCGAGTGTCAATGTGAGAAAGTATCCCATCAGTAGCACAAGTGTCAATGGGACAGAGTATCCCATCAGTAGCACAAGTGTCAATGGGACAAACTAACCCATCAGTAGCACAAGTGTCAATGGAACAAAGTAACCCAACAGTAGCACAAGTGTCAATGGGACAGAGTATCCCATCAGTAGCACAAGTGTCAATGGGACAAAGTATCCCATCAGTAGCACAAGTGTCAATGGGACAGAGTATCCTATCAGTAGCACAAGTGTCAATGGGACAAAGTAACCCAACAGTAGCACAAGTGTCAATGGGACAAAGTATCCCATCAGTAGCACAAGTGCCAATGGGACGCAGTAACCAAACAGTAGCACAAGTGTCAATGGGACAATGTAACCCATCAGTAGCACAAGTGTCAATGGGACAAAGTAACCCAACAGTAGCACAAGTGTCAATGGGACAAAGTAACCAAACAGTAGCACAAGTGTCAATGGGACAAAGTAACCCAACAGTAGCACAAGTGTCAATGGGACACAGTAACCCATCAGTAGCACAAGTGCCAATGGGACACAGTAACCCATCAGTAGCACAAGTGTCAATGGGACAAAGTAACCCAACAGTAGCACAAGTGTCAATGGGACAAAGTATCCCAACAGTAGCACAAGTGTCAATGGGACAATGTAACCCAACAGTAGCACAAGTGTCAATGGGACAAAGTAACCCATCAGTAGCACAAGTGTCAATGGGACAAAGTATCCCATCAGAAGCACAAGTGCCAATGGGACACAGTAACCCATCAGTAGCACAAGTGTCAATGGGACAATGTAACCCAACAGTAGCACAAGTGTCAATGGGACACAGTATCCCAACAGTAGCACAAGTGCCAATGGGACACAGTATCCCAACAGTAGCATTAAGTGCCAATGGGACACAGTAACCCATCAGTAGCACAAGCTTGCCAATGGGACACAGTAACCCATCAGTAGCACAAGTGTCAATGGGACAATGTAACCCAACAGTAGCACAAGTGTCAATGGGACACAGTATCCCAACAGTAGCACAAGTGCCAATGGGACACAGTATCCCAACAGTAGCACAAGTGCCAATGGGACACAGTATCCCAACAGTAGCACAAGTGCCAATGGGACACAGTAACCCATCAGTAGCACAAGTGTCAATGGGACAATGTAACCCAACAGTAGCACAAGTGTCAATGGGACACAGTATCCCAACAGTAGCACAAGTGCCAATGGGACACAGTAACCCAACAGTAGCACAAGTGTCAATGGGACAAAGTATCCCATCAGTAGCACAAGTGTCAATGTGACAAAGTATCCCAACAGTGACGCAATTCTGCAGGAACAGGTTGTTGGAGAATAAACACAGGCTATACGTGGGCGGACAATTCGACAGAACAGCCTGCAGTCGTGACTATCTACAAAAATACCATGTATTATTGGTTGAGTCTTTGGAACTGTCACCTCAGTTATACATGGCTAACCATGAGACTGTTAAGATACACCAGATAGATAAACATTCTCAACATTCCTGTTCTTGAATTTGAGTACTTGGTCATTTTATAGCGGACACTGGAAATGTTTTCGAAATGTTCTTCACATTTTGGATAACATCTACATCTTGATAGATTTTGTGCATCACCATTCCGTTGATGGATTAAAATATTTAATCTTTAAAAAAGAAAAAAAATTTTTACAAAAAGTTAATTTAATCTCTGAAACCGAGTCTACATACCCATATGTTTTTCCCGATCGGTCAAAGCTCCATCACCAAGCATTTCCATGAAGACATATAGACGCAGCGCTTGTCGTAGATATTTCGCCTGTAAGTGGTATATAAATTATCAGTTATATGTACGCATTTGAACCCGTTATGGAATTTTGCAGTTGTTGGTTCAGAAGTGTTCCTTCATCTCTCTACCGTCTTGCTACTGATCACTGCCTTACTACTCACCACCAAATATCTGCCTCACTATTAAACACTCCAACTTACCACCAATCTTACTACCTCATACTAAACACCCATCTACCTCTACTAAAGAGCCAGTTCATGGGGCCTCCTTCACTACCCGAAACCAGCTCAATTAAAACACCCGACTCACCACCAAACATCTGCGTCACTATAAAACACCTCCTCAACTACCTAAACACAGAATTCAATACCAAATGTCGGTCTCTCACTCACCAAACGCCCACCTAATTAACAAATACCTGACTCACTACAAACACCTGACCCACTGCAAACACCTGACCCACTATAAACACCTGACCCACTATAAACACCTGACCCACTAAAAACACCTGACCAACTATAAACACCTGACCCACTATAAACACCTGACCCACTAAAAACACCTGACCAACTATAAACACCTGACCCACTATAAACACCTACCTCACTGTAAAGGCACCTGACCCACTATAAACACCTGCCTCCACTATAAACACCTGACCACACTAAACACCTGCCTCCACTATAAACACCTGGGCCCACTAAAACACCTGACCAACTATAAACACCCTGACCCACTATAAACACCTGAGCGCCTGACCACTATAAACACCTGACCCACTATAAACACCACCTCACTATAAACATCTGACCCACTACCAAACAAATTCATCACAACCATATACCTGTCTTGTTTTCCAGCTGCTTTGATCGAAGCTCACGATTTCAATTACCGATTGTTTCCAGAAGTAGAACATTTCTAGATAACCATGCCACCTTGTACCACGTTCTGCTATAACAAATGTACTTGTTCACGTGTGAGAGGGCAATGTCACGATGAGGTCCTCGTTAACCAATTGTTAACCAATTGTTAAAAGAGTCATATAAGCGTTAACATATGCATGTATTGGACTAAAACTGAAATATATAGTATTACCCAAGTCTGAAAAAGCAGATTTTGTAGGTGTTCACAGAGTAATATGTGAAGATTGAATATGTACATGGCAAATATTTGACCAAAGCTCATTTTATTAGGAAAATATTAAAGCCGTCCAAACATATAGGGAATAAATTGACTCATTTTGTTTGTGATATATATATCAAAACCGGATATATATGTATGTATGTTTCCAACATCACAAACAAAATGAATCAATTTATTCCAAACTTGTGCGACACATGTGAAGACATAACAGAGTTCCACAACATCATCGTCCATTATACTCACCTTTGCTGTAGGACATAATTTGGGGCCTGACCAGTGAAGCTGGTAACACGGATGATATCTCCTGTCCGATATCTGTACAGACCTGACCAGTTGGTGATGACCATCTCATAACTCTGCCCAATGACCACCTGGAGGACACAGTTGCGAAGGAATAGTCAGTCTCGATTGCCTGCCGAAACACTTTGTAAAACAGTGATGAAAGTTATAGGAAATGGAGTTCTGAAAATCTTAGTGGACATCACGTTTTCGCTATAAGGATAAGCTTGACGAGAAGCACCCGTCACTCACGAAATGTGCATGAAAATGTCTTTCATTAGATATGGTACCACACTGATACAAACCAAACTCAACAGACAAAAACAAAACACTGTTGACCCCTCTCTTGAAGGTGTGGACTTGCTAATTGTGAAAGATCTGGCAGAGGGAAAATGTTATGGCTGATCCTGTTGTTTGTTAATGAGCTTCAGAAAGTACTGAAAATCTTGAAAAGGAACTTCCAGGTATGTTTCCTTCCAGTGTTGTTACTCGTGCTTAGGCGAGGCTAATTTCCTCTCAGAATGACACCAGTTACTTTCATAGACCATTCTTTCGACCTGTCTAATTTTCAGGCGAGGGTAATAAACATCCTGACAGTTTGTCTGTTGAGAACGGAAAAGGTGTGTAAGTTACAAGGACCCAGAACTCAAAGCTCTTGTCCAGACGGGTACACTCTTTGGAAGAAGCTGGCAACGTTCGAATTTGGTGTCATTTCAAGGATGGCATTTAGATGATACTTTTATTCGGACTTTGAATTTCTACTTCCATCATATTTTGTAGTGCCATTGCAATTCCTTTATAGTGATTTGCAAACTTAGTTTATTTTATTATTATATTTGGATTATCATACTAACGTTTGTATAGCGCGAACATTCAGCCCAGCTGCTCAAAGGCGCTTTGATTTTAGAATACAATTTGTTAATTATATAACATTTCTTTGTTGTTTGTTGGTTCATACTCATTAAAGTTTCTACTGTGAACCACCACGTAACTGCTCTTACAGAACAGTAACGCCTCTAGCATATTTACAATACCTGCAGCACAAAGACTAATGCAACTGCTATACCATAACAAGCACTTACAATACAAACTGCAGCAGATAAGGTAACTTAGTATACAGTGAATCGCTAAAATCGTATTGTGCAACCGAAACCTGGACATGGTAACGTGTTATCACACAAGGTGAATAGATCATGAATATTTAGGCAAAGTGATTCAAAAGAAACAAAAAATGTTCCAACCTCATGAGCCAGCAAAGACTGTGGATTATCTTGATCAACATCAACTTCATGGATGAATTCGTAAAACACCTGATCAGGGAGGATGGTGTACTCTGTCTTTGTCTGATCTATAATGTTCATGTTGATGCCATACAGCCCCTCGGACGCCATGTGTTTGCTGGAGGTTATTGGGATGTCCACTAGGTACTTCCGTCTCAGAATGTTCACCTGAAAGTCAGGATGCTGTGAAATGATAGACACTAACTGATGTTTAGGTCCTGTTGAAACAATTCGCTCGTTAGAAACTGTTAGATTGATCTGGAACGTATATTGTTATATATTATTACTGCACTTCGATAACATTCAACGCCAACAAAAAGACCGGGTAGTTCACTACTACTACTAGTTGGTCTGTGTGCTGTCGCCTCAGAATAGAAACTTGAAATTCACGATGCTCTCACATGTAATTAAATGATGTTTTAATGTCCTTTTGAAAATGAAGATGCTATTTTATCTAGAACATGTATTGTGATATATCGAGAATCTCACCCATGTGTCTACTAATATCAATTATATGAACACGAGTTGATAAAGTTACAATTTTTACTTTTATCAACGAGTGTTAATATAATTGATATCAGTAGACACACGGGTGAGATTCCAATATCATTACTTTCAAATGTACATATCTGAACATGGTACTACCATTCGACTTACAGTGCAGCGATGTCATAGCATTGTGACGTCATCAAGTTCATCCCGTCATAGCATTGTCAGGGCATTGTACAAAATCTGCTGTCAATACGATATCTCCTAGGAAATATCGTATGATCTCGCACAAGCGATATCTCCTGTGGAACACAGTTTGGGATGATAAACTTAGCACTCACCTAAACGTTGCACTTTAATACCACTCAAGCTAACATAAAATGGGCCTGAGGGTTGCACATGAATACAACATGAACGCGGGTGATTCGACCATAGACAGAATGGCAATAGAGACTGTGTTTATACGCGCAACATACGTCAATTCTTTTTAGAAAATATATGTGGCTGCAGCTTTGAATACTTCCAAACTGTGTCCTAGTTTCTCACCGCTGGAATGTAGGCTCCCGATGCCGCTGTGTGTAACACTGACAAACATGGCCAGATTCGTGGTCCAATATTGTGGAAGCCTTCCTTGAAGATACTTCTCAGTTCACCAGCTCTCTCTGCATCAGCAGTCAGATGCTTCTGAAGCTTGAGCCTCACATCGTCCTGCAGACCAGGACACTTGCAGATGTTTCCACGTTCTATATCATCACAAATGGCTTCCCACCGTGTCTCGATGACCCTGAAGAAGTTCAAGGCTGTAGGTGCTGTGAGGCAGCTTAGCAAGGTGACGTCTTTACACGTCAGACCGAACAATGCATGGACATTCAAGGATGCCTGCTCGTGTCTTATTTCATATGCAGCATCAGGTGATGGTCTAAAGGGACAGATGAA